TCAGCAGAAAGTATCGGATATTTTACATGACCGTATCCTTGTTGGGCATGCTGTTCACAACGATCTCGAGGCTCTTATGCTGTCACATCCTAAGCGCGATATCCGCGATACAAGCCGGCACCCGGCTTTCAGAAAGATGAGCCAAGGGAGAACGCCAGGGCTGAAAAAGCTCACGAAGGAGATACTGGGGTATGAGATTCAAGGCGGGGAGCATTCATCGGTACGTGACCTCTTATAAACCCGTGAAATTGAGTCAACCTAACAATATGACGACGGATAGATTGAAGATGCTCGAGCATGTATGAGTCTCTATAGACTACAGAAAGATTCTTTTGAGACCTTGCATGCAGCCAAATACCCAGGACATGCTAATAAACAAAGAGGGAAGGGAGCTAGCGGAAAGAAGAAGAAACAGAAGGCGTAGCTAAAATTGCTTGTACCTATCTGAGCTTTAATCATTATTTTTGTGTGCGATTATCATCTCATGATCGGAAAGAACCATTACTGTGCATATGATGCACCATTTCGCCCGATATATGCTAAAGGAAGACAATAAGATAGATGTAACTACAAGTAGAATTCTTGTTTAATTTACCCATGTAAACTTCAATTATCTAATTTTCTAGACTAGATCAAACACCATTCGTTGCGCAAGTAAATTTAATATCGTGCCAGTTAGGAAAATTTATTATTTATCGCCCACAAGATCTATTAATCATCCCCACATTTCAGGCTCGGTTTTATAATGGTATCCCCTCATAAAGTTCTGTAGCCCCTTCTCTTCCAACGCTGAAAATGATATCGTTCAACACCTTGCTCTTAAATCCGGCTTCACAATAGGTAAAATAATAAACCCATTTTCTTCTAAATACCTCCACATCGTCGTTCCTCATATTCGGATGCTGCTTCTTTAACGCAGGGGCTATTTGGGTATCAAATTTCTTCAGGAATTCCTCGCACCAAATCCGGAGTGTGCGAGTGTAATTCCCACCGATATTGTCTACAGATTCAAGGACAAGCTGGCCTGCAGAGCCCCTATTTATAGAGTTCACCAGCTGTGTATGGGAAGGTAGGTAGCCCCCTGGAAAGATGTATTTGCGAATGAAGTCATTGCCTTTAGCGTAGCTATCGGATCTCTAGAGTACAGGAATTAATTAATGTCCCTCAAGAATGGTAAGTAATTGAATGGGTATCTCTTACAGTTTCTGGCATAGTGATACACTGAAACACTGCGATCCCGCCGTCGGCCTTCAGAACCCGGTGTATGACCTCGAAATAGGTGTCCAAGTATTCCTTTCCAACAGCCTCTAACATCTCAATCGATACAACCTTATCGAACTTCTTTTTCGGCGCCTTCAACGCACGGTAGTCGCACAATAGCACTGTAATACTGTCTGCCAATCCTGCCTGTGCAATCCTTTTCTCTGCCAATGCTTTCTGCTCCACAGATAGTGTCAGACTAGTCACCTTACACCCTGTCCTCTTCACTGCCTCCATGGCAAAAGATCCCCAGCCTGTCCCAATCTCGAGAACATGGTCAGTGCTCTTAATTTTGGCGAGGCTAATGATTTTGTTCAGCTTCTTGTACTGCGCTGCTTCCAGGTTTGAGTCATTGGGAACGGAGGTGTCAAAGAGGGCACATGAGTATGTCATGTCAGGTGTGAGAAAAGCAGAAAACATGTTGTTGGAAATGTCGTAGTGTGCTGCCACATTGAGGAGTGAATTCGTCATTGTGTTTGTGGATCTTACGATGGAGGTCAAGGAATTGAACACCGTGGAGGAGATGGTATTTGCATTTGAAAGTTGGGCACGGTTTTTGATGAAGACCTATAAGAGGACTGTCAGCTTGGGAAGGTGGAAAGAAATTGGAAGTATTACAGTGAAGAAGGAACATAAGTCTGAACATTCAACTTCCCCGAGCATATAAGCTTCTGAAAATCCCTATTAATCTAGTCAATTTCCAACGACTAAAGATGACGATAAGTATATGTAAAAAAGGAGCGTACCATATCTGCAAATAAGAGCAGTCGGACCCAGAACATATCACTCTTAACCTCGAGATGACTCGATGGAGAACCGCCAGGGCCATACGAGAAAGTCTCTCCATCTTGGGTCTCGATGATAAGAGAGCCTGTCTCAATTCGTTCCAGCAGCATCAATATTGATCTTTTTGAGAGGCCTACGAGAGGGCCCCATGTCACACTGCCGATAGTAGAGGATATTGTTGAGAGAAGCTCCATTTCGAGAAATCGATTGATCACAGATGGAATTTAGAGTAGCTGTATGGGGATGGGAGGGAGGGAAGTAGGAAACTTATGACGAGAGAAGATGTAGGTTTTTGATTATCTACAACATGAAGAGAGGGTTTACATATTTATATATGTACTTGCTATATGTAGTTCACATTTCGTATGGAAACGGAAAGGGATCTATCCGGAGAGTTTGATAGTTCATACTCGTTAATTGATTCAAATTTCTTGATTGCATAATGGACGAGCATTGTACATGTACATGGTTTCGCGGTGTAATAGACCTCCGGGCTCTGTCTCTGTGAGCTTAACAGGACCCTTGCCGTTAGCTACGAAGTAGGCTCGTCCCCAACCCGTCTACCTTGCTGCTAAGTAGGGGATGGGTACGAGACTAGCTACGAAGTATGTAGAGTACATGTATGTAGCCAGGATGTAAGACACGAGCTATTAGGTACCCTCAACTCCTTCAATGGACTTATTATCCCTTCGCCTGCGCCAATTCTCATTGGATCATAGAGTTACTAGTAAATATTTCACTAGCAAAGAAGCTCTCATATGGTAGGGGAGAATCTAGTGTTGAAATCCCAGCAAGGGACCACATTTAAATTACTTACGATCACTTTTGTAGAATCAATGACGTCTATTCTCAATTTCTATCGTGACCGGGCCCTCCAGAGCCAGGGCTGTTCAAGTGCGCTATTGATTCTAGATAGTAGGTCTGAAGCCCTTTAACAGTAACCTAAAATGATTGTCGATGCGTTCAAACGGTTTAGTCCCTTCATGTCAAAGTCTATGCAGTCTTTTGTACCTAGATCACACGGTTTTTTATTGATGTCGACATTTATTTACGATCTGAAGCGTGTTTGTATGTTCCGCTTATCGACGCAGGAAATGATTGTAATAGGGTTAGGGGGCCACAAGCAGGGGTGTATTAGAATATCAGGTTGGCATGTGCACGCCTCAGAGAACCCTGCCCAGATCTCTTATGCAACGCTAAAGCATCGGTTCTGCAGATACTGGGGTGCCACTATACCTATTCGCAGCAGAGTAGGTACAGTACTGAGCTCACTGCCTAACTAGTTCATGTGTCTAACAATTTCTGGTATTGACAACCCTGGTTGGTTATTAAGTAGTAGATACATATACCTAGAGTATCACTTGATATGGTTTTTGGGCTTGATAATTACTTATGTAGAGTACACATGAGAAGCATCAAGGGTGCATACATACATATGATTGATAAGTCTTACTCTCGGTTGACCTATCGCTGCTGCATCACAACGAAATTCTTAGATTTCAAGAGTTGGTAACTGCATACATCAATTCCGAACATAAATACCCCTATCTTGATGAATGTTATACAGTTATGTACTAGGTCAGTTGAGTTTATATATACATGTATCTTATATACACACCTTAAGTCCATGGCCATGAACCGCGTCGACTATCGATAACGATCCAGCTAGATGATTGGGTTATATATATGTAGTTGTGATTATAACGGCACCAAATGTAGTCTCGTTCCCAGACTTTTGTCACTTCACTCGTTGCTTTGGGCACGAGGCTACATGTAGTGTCAAACATTATTTCCTACCATGTCGGAGGTTCCACAGCACAAGACATGTCATGTCGTCCCTTGATACTTACTTCGGGTGTCGCATTAAATACTTTTTGATTTACTGATCATGACTAGTAAGTATACCCTTTAATGAGTACTGTATATCCAAAGGATTATTATATTAAGCTTGTTAGCTAGCAGCTAGTGGTTGAATCATAGCCTATCACTCATCTTTACTAGTGCCCAAATTTCCAAACAGTACATTCTTTTTTTTCCTTTTTCTTTTTTCTTTTTTTTTTAATTCATTAATTGCATGCAACCTTTACAGTTATGGCAATCAAACCGTACATATATTTCTTCGGCAGATCATTAATCGGATGAACTCTCGAGACCATTTACTATGGGGCGGTAAATGTGTCAAAAGTAATTTTACCAACGGTAGTAAATTATTTTACCACCGGTGGTGAAAATAAAACCAGTATTTATACCTATAATGTTAATTTTTATGATAAAAGCGAGACCTTTTGGCCAAAAGGGGCCATATAATGCCAATATATATGAAAATTGTCCACCGATGGGGAATCTCACCATCGGTGGCGGTATTTCACCACCGGTGGGAAATTTTCATAAGTTTTGGCATTAATGATTGAACATTTACTTATTTAGTATAGCGCAGCATAAAGACCGAAACTCAGTGTTTATACCGGTGGAAATGTACTAATGTAGGATAGCATGCAGATACAATGACTGAAATTCAGTGCTTATACCACCGGTGGTAAATAATTTACTACCGTTGGTAAGGTTGCTTTTGGCACATTTACCGCTCCATAATTTACTGTGTTGGGCGTTAAGAACATTTTATCCGTGTTCCTATTTATACCTGTAAATTTTTCTTGTTTGATTTGGGGTGTTCTTTTCGACTACTAGATATAATATACGTATGTATGTAGATTAATTAGGCGTTAATTTTTGTTCAACGTCGAATACTGCATAATATTGGACCCTCCGGATCGCGGAGCCACTGGTGTTTTTTTACTTTCATTCATATCTCCTATAGCTAGCTCTTCACCATGGCCAGAAAATTTAATTAATGCTCCTTCCGTTATCTATCAGACCGCTGGCTGGTGTGTTGTACATAGTGCTGATATTATAGTAGACAAATGTATAAAATCGAGATTTAAGAGTTACAAGATTTATTCCTCTAGCCAAACAACTTCTTCCTCCTCACCATTCGCTCCACTACCCTTAGCTGTTTCCAAATCCTTCATCTCCTTCTCCCCCACAATTTTACAATCACAGATGCCTTGGAACTCAATCAACCCATCGCTATTTAACTTTTCAAGCGCAGCCTCACTTGCACAAATTCTTGCAGCTTTCGCAGATGGTCCTTTCCCAAACGCGAATACCTTGCTATGGATCAAAATCCCGGTGAGAATAAAGTACTCTTCTTCAGTCCTGATTTGCTCACTTTCGTAACCCCAATTGGTGCAACCCAGGTCTGTCATGCGCTGGGTTAGGAAGGTGGTCGGGTGTTGGCCAGCAAAATCTGGAAGGCAATGTCAGCGCTTGGATATAGAGACAAAACAGACTAGGGAGTACTCTTACTATCATAAATAGTCATGTCAACGAAGTATGGAAGGATGAAATCAGAGACGAATTTTTCAACTATCTGGTAATTGAATTCGGAATCGACAAATAAGGCACCGATAAATGCCTCGAGGATATCAGGTAGAGCCTTTGGTGGCGGGCTTACTGATGTCCAGAAGTCAACTGCTCCGTTCGATTTCTCTTTGGCCTCTGTGATTTCTATCGCATAGTCTCGAATCGCAATATCTAAATGCTGGCCAACCCTCTTAAGTTTTCGATGAAAGCCCATTACGACAGAAACGGCACCGAGAAACTTATTTGAAACCATAGCCATCTTTACAAGATTAGTACTCCGGGAACATAATATATACGAGTAGAGTAAACCTACTTTATGCTCGGTCAACCATTGGGGATCTGCCTCTGGATATTTATTAAAGATATACTGTACACACACCAGATCCAGTAGAGAATCTCCTAAAAACTCCAGCCTCTGGTAGCATGGCACCTTCTCCCAAGAGTAAGGATTACTTGAATGTGTGAACGCAGACACAAGTAACTTTGGGGATTGAAATTTATAGCCAATCTGTTTCTCAATATCCCTTGCTAATTTTATCTGTGAAGCAGAGGGTAGAGCAGTCTGGTATCCAGGTTTGGTATATCCTTTGTAGTAATCGGCCCATTCTTTCTGCTGGTGTTCTGGTGTTTGTAAGATGGCAGTTACCATTTGGGTAGCGCCATCAAGGCCTTTGTCGATGATTGCTGCTCCTATCAAGGCCTCGCATACATCGGAAATAGATTTGTCGGCGAGCCTATGTAGACTGCCTGGCTTACTAATTTTCTTACCAGTGCCCTTTCCTAAAATCTGTTTCATGGTGGCTGGATACCACCAGCGACGCGAGAATCCCTCCGTTTGGATATAAGTTGGCAGGTTGATTCGTTTGGCTTTTTCAAATAGGTGCTGGTTGCAAACGAGTAACATACGTTTAACGTGCAACTGATACTCGTCGTTCTCATGATTTTCCGCAAAAAGACTAACGGAAGATGCCTTAAAAAAGCAAGGATTAGTAGCTAAATTTCCACAACATAAAAGAAGTATCAACACTTACCACTTTCAAGAAACAATCTCCCAAAAACTCTAAGCGCTCATAATTATTTCCCATTCCTTTCCTTGGATTCACTTGATCTTTATTATGTTCATGAGAATTATCAGAATCCTTTGTGATAGCCTCTAAAGCCAGCCTAAGATCCAAGTCTTCCATCCCTAGTAGTTTGCAGACGTCCCAAGCATGAAGGTATGCATCGATTCTAGTGCTGATAGACGGAAATATCATGGCCATATGTATAACATGACACGGTATCTAAAATTATGTTAATTGACATGAAGGTGTTTAGCAAGAATTATAAGCCTATACCATAGAAACTTGAAAAGCCGAAGGGCAGATCCAAGCTTCGGTACCCGTATTTGCATCCTTCTCACTAGGGGGGTCCAAGTAATTCAGCCGATGCAGCAGTCGGTCAGCTACCAGTACAGGCTCTGTCTCTGGGATTTTCCATTTTATGCCCTTCCATTTTGCAGCACCCTTTTTCCCAGCATTATACGAGTAGTCAAGTATACTGGAGATTGTCGATCCATGAGGCATTTGCATTGGAACAGGATCCTTGGGGCTTAGCGTCGGATCACAATCATAGACAATAAAACGTCTACTCCGCTGCCTTCTATCCACAAGAAACCTATCAACGAAGTTATTGATTGGTGTTTTGTCATTCCACTCTAACTGTAGGGTGGACATGATGTATGTCATCATTTCCCAGTCAAGTACATCATCAGCTAAGGTTTCCTCATTCCACTCTCCACTTTTGCACGGTGAGATCCAATATGGAAACGTCGAGTCGTCTTGCTCAAAGAGCTTATTGAATAAGTCGTAGAACAAACGTATGGTGAACCTGCTAAGTAATTCAAGTTTCTGAACCGTTACGTCCAAGGGCTTATTTAGACGTAATGAAATAACATCTGAAAGGGCACCTCTATCGGAATATATAGGAAAGCTTGGAATATTAGGAAGCTTTTCCCTGGTAGCGATAGCTATTGGCAGAAGCCGTTCATTGATCTCCTGTTGATTGGATAAAAGAAATACAGTTACCCAAACCTGTGGAGGAGGTGTGCTATCTTTGATTGTCCAGAATGTGGGTTTCTCTTTCGATGCATAATTTTGAGTCTTGCTGGAATCCAAGGCCAAGTGTGCATTGGCCATCTTTGGAATATCCCTCATTCTATATTTTGGGAGGAGGTGAGCATTCAGATGTTCTCTAGCTCTGAGTTGTAAGCAAGCTTCGAATGCAGCGGCTCTTTTTGCTCCAGCTTTGGTAGTCATGACTGTGCCCTCAACGCAAGTGATTGGCGATGCAGCAGGGAGTAATAATTCACAGATATACGACCTATCTCCAAGATGGCGAACTTTATAGATAGGTGGAGACAAATCTTCGCCATCATGAGGCTATTATACTATTCTCAGCATGGCCACAACCTGGGGAGGTATTTTAGAACTCACCAAGCTACCAAGATAATGTCCCATAATTTGCATTGCAGACGAAAAGGTTAGCTTCGCACCGCTCTCTGGCTCGATGTAAATACGATCGCTTTCATCAAGGAGATGTTCGCTATTGGGTGGTTCGTTAAGTAACCTATCTTCCGGAAGGCTTTGACAAAAGGTTCGCATGATCCCCTCTGCGCTTCGTACGTCGCCGAGAATTCTCCTATGCTCTTCGTTGCCGGCCTCCAACATATGAATATAGCGAGATTTTGAATGACGTGCTCGTCCTCTCGACTGGATATATTGAATCATCGTGGTATATAGATCAAATCTATTTCTAAGTTAGCTTCTAGAAAAGGACTATAGGGACAATGTAGGTTGAGAGTGACTGCGGGAACCACGTCACTAACCTAATAATCAAACTACAATCTGGTATATCCAAGCCCTCCTCCGCCACCGAAGTAGCAATGAGACAGTTCAATTTACCCCTCCTGAACTGGCTTACAGTTACCATTTGCTGTCTGAAAGTGACATTCTCATCACCGGCACCGGAAGAACTTGATCCAATAAGGATACCAAGTTTCATATACTGGCTCCCGACTTCCTTCAATAGTGCAGCTAGAACACGAGCAGTGTATCGTCTACTGACAAAAATGATACATTTGTTGTTGTTTTCTTCGGCATACACATGTCTAAGGAACCGATGCAGTAGAACTACCTTTGAGCTTAAATCACTGGTCTCTGGATCCGGAGTGTCAAAAACATGATTCTGAACATCCATCTTTGCTTCCCGGAGGAGTTGTATATCCTTTTCGATAAGATCGAGACCATTCTGACTACTTTGGCGATTCGCATTTCGTTCCTCTTTACGTTTGAGTTTGCGGTATTCTTGCTCAGACAGTGCAAATCTCCATACTTGATCTGCACACCAAGGGCCGAGTTCGGAAGCACACTGCTTGGAGAACGCAAATATCTTTCCGAAGGATTCGTATTTACCATATTTGCTGTAGAGTTTTGAGCAGAGCTGGGTTTGAAATGGAGCTTGAAGCTTGACGTATGCTGCAACCTCCTCTTTAGGGCGGTTAACAGAGCTCTGGAGCAGCATCAGGTCACTTGCAGTTGTAATTTTGCTGTGAAGAAGTTCTTCAAGCTCTCTATTTTAAACATAAGGAATTAGATTAAAACAGTTATTTAGGATTGGAGTACTTACAAGGCAGCCTGAACAACATCAACTCGTGCGTCAACTGGTGAAGCAGTCATCCCGAAGATTTTCGGTCTCTTATCTTCAGGCTCACATATATAGAAATCTTTAATTATCCGTGCATATACATGCCTTTTCTTTGCGTGATGCGCCTCATCAAAGCAAAGAAGATTTATATCTTCCATCTTGATAAATGCATGCGTGAGGCAATTGTAAAGCACATCTGCCGTCATGACAATTACCTGCTCATCATCAAGAATTTTATCCCAAATATCTTTTTTCCAGAGATCAACTCCCATGTCACCACAGTACTTGCCAATCTTTGCATCGATATTGCAATTCAAAACTGCTGCCTGCTGAAAAACAAGTGTTACACAGTCAACAAGAAAAAAGCTGACACGGCGGTGACGGCCAAGCATACGAGATTCAAGCTCTTGGTCAACCATATGTCGGATTAAAAGACAGGCAATAAGGGTTTTGCCGGAGCCTGTATCGAGCACTGCGATGGTATTTCGTTCCTTGGCAATTTCGAAAAGCTCCATTTGATATTCACGAGGGTCCGAGATGATGAATTTGTGAGATGTAATCATTGCTCTCGCGGACATTTTTTCCTCATCCTGTTGATGACGTTCAATTATTGCTTCGATTTGGATTTCTTTAGATTTCTCTTCGCACCTGGTATACATTAATGCCATACTATCGCGGGACACCAGAGGGCAGTTTAACCAACCATTTAGCAAATTCTCCTTGGCGCATTCGACGCCTAGCAGTTACGCGTTTTGTATATGGCTTATGGCTAACGAGCACGATATCATTGAGATTTCCTAAAGCTTGAATCTCCGCATTTTCTTCGTTTTCATTTTTATCGCCTCCTGAAGATGTGCGATTAGAATCTTCATCCACTATATCCAAGGAATCCGGTAAGGATTGACCTGCGGCTTCTTTAAACCCCAAAGGTTCCCCGAAACCGCTTCCGGAGGCTGTTGTTGACATCGATATAGAAGACCCCTCCTCAATTCCTGAATGGTTCTTGAAATGCAGATTGCCACTGATGTCGATATTTGGTACTTCCCTTGGTTGGATAAGATGTTCCGTTGATTGTTGTTCCTGTAGCATTTCTTTGGGCGATGAATCGTGGCTAAGCTTAGACCGATCTTGGTTGGGAGTCTCAGTCGCAATATCTTTTGAACTGACCGCTCCGTTATTGCTACCTTTACTAACTTTTTGAGCAATAGCAGCGAATCTAGATTCTGTAACGAAGGAGTAGCCTGCGCCTCCTAGAACCGGGCCACCGACTTCTGGAGAGATATTTTTCTCACCATCCAAACCAGAATCCAACCCAGAGCCAGAGAGTTCCTTAGCAGGCGGCGCCGAACTCTGCCGGGGAAATACCTTAGTTTCAGGTCTGCATTTCAATACACTAAGAGAGATTGGAGCCGCTTCTTTCTGATTGAATGTAGAGCTTGGTCCCCTCTGCTGAGAAGGCTGTACCAAGCTTTGGGTCTTTTTTTGGTTGATTTCTAAATGAAGTTCGGAAGCAGGAGCTTTCTCGGAAAAATAATTGGATGTTTGTGGGTATGGGTTCATAATGACAGGATTTTTGGGTATCACGTAAGATCCAGACGTTGAAGCAGTACCAAAACTCGAAATTGGACTTTTCACTTCGTTCTGGGGGTTGTAAGAGCGTTTAATATCCTGTCTCGACGGGAAGTTGAGATCAGGAGTCGGAATGATAGAGGGACCGATTCTATTAGACGCTAAAAAACGTCCTTTAGAACTAGGTTGAGGAGACCTTTTGGAATGGCCGGTTTTGTGGTTTATTCGAGATGAGGTCGAATCACAGTACTCGGGGCTTAGTACCTTATTGTTTTGAGTGTTAGTGAAAATATCGTTTATCCCCGACTCCAATTCGGAGTCACAAAGGGTATCACAAGCTCTGGTTGGCGCAACGTTTATTGGTGTTTCACTACCATTGGGTATTGAAACTTTCACTGAGCCCCGAGATCCAACATCGAGGCCTCGGAGTTTCTGGGGAAACGGCCCACTCGTCGAGACAGCTCCCTGATCGTGTAGATTCTGAGAACTCATTGTACTCATAATTTTAAACATATCTAACGGCTTTAAAGAAAGGAAATCGACGTTTTTCTTGGACTCGGTTTGCTCAAGCGAAGGGTTATCATGTGCAAACATAGTGCCTGGGCTGCCTAGTTGATTGGAAGTTGATTCCATTTCAAAAAGATACCGAGACCCGAGGAGGGAATCAACACAGGAAGGTCAATGGACAGTAGCTAAGGTATGGTGAATGCTTGATGCTGGGTGCTGGGTGCTTGGTGCTGGGTGCTGGATGCTGGATGCTGGATGCTGAGTTGTGGTGGTTGTTGTGATGGCGGTTGTAGACCAAAGTTGGGAGGTAGACAATCTCACATCCAAGTAATTCTGGGTGGGTTTTATATTAGAATCGATTAGTTTACCCGAGCTGAAGAGTGACAACCGAAAAAAAAATCAGCGTTAAGGCCATCAACGCTTAACGTAGCAACTGATTGGCGCAAATAATCCATGCTTCTTGGTTTATGTCATAGAATTAAGCCTTTTAGGAGAACTAATAATATTACTAGCCTCTGCGGTAAATTCCGTGTATATTAAAGAAGGTTAATCGGTGTAGAAGACCCTTCATTAATCCTTAATATAGCATAGGCCTAGCACCGATCTTCTATATCAGCGTTTATAAGGTATCTTGGCCAAATCTGCAGTACGTCATGTACATGTAGTGAAAAGAATTAACCAGAACCAGTCTCCGTTTTCTAGAGATGTACTTTAATGAGCACATACGTGTGAGTTCCCTCCGTTTCAATAAGCCGCATAATACCGTAGCGATACAGAATCGAATTCAATTGACATCCTAGAGATCGTACATTTACATAAACCCAATAGACACAGCAGTATTGATTATACCAACCTTCTTGGTAGTACTGTACATGTACATGCAGCACACTAGTACTCGTGGTATGGCGCTATGTACTACACGTAATATACATACATGTATGTATCACTTTTTATAGAGACAAGGGGCGTAGGGATGGTTTCAACTCTGACCAAAACTTATCATAACGGGGCCGCTGTTGTGGAGAAAAAAAGGTTTGCCTAAAACTATAATATCGAATATATGAGCTAGTGGCTGTTTTTTCAGGCACCCAGCGAAAGGAAATGATAAAAATGACAAGAAGATACTCAATAGGGTAAGCGATCTCCCATGACATCAAGGGTCCTAGTAACCGCGCTAAGATAAGCTCGAAGCGATAAGATCTTAGATACGATAAGATCGAGGGGCTCGATGCTCAAGCCTCATACGACTCTTGCTCCCTCATGATCAGCACCACCAAAATGGCCCTCAACGAACAAGAAGACTCTACCTCTCTACGGTCCATCTTTGATACCGCCTCACGTCTCCGCGTAGAAATCGAAGAATCGTACGACTACCAAAGCGACGCCTATCAAAATAAGTTACGCACTGCGGTCACCTCATATCAAAAATGCAAAGACCTCATTGATCAAATCTCTCTGTTTAGCTCAAACGAAGGGTTGGAGGATGTGAGCTCGAGTGAAATTAGGTTTGCGCAATTGGTGGTGTGCCCAAGATAACTACTTGCTGACCGATTGAAGATACATGCTCGTCGACTTCTACCTTGCAGAGCTGAGCTTGAAGGAGAATGCGCAGGATAGAGAAACTGTCTTAAAGCGTTCTAGAACACTTTATAATAGGTTCTTATCACTATGCGATACCTATGATTTGCTTTCTACAACCGACAAAAGCGCGTTTGAGAAGGGCGCTGTCTCGTCTTCTCCTGCGGACCCCGCAACCCGAAGAAATGAGAAAATTGCAAAATATAAAGCCGAGAAAGAGCTTAAAGCAAAAATTGAGGTAACTTGCTTGTTGTGATAAAATGCTGGAGTGACATCGCTGATGTCGAATACAGCAACTCTCACAAAATTCTCACAATCTTGATGAAACCGATGTCCGAGCGCTTCACCTTGCTTCAATCTCATTGTCCATTATGAAGGCACTACAGGGCCTTGAAATGATCTTTCTCGAACTTGACATTCTTTCACGTGCTCCCAAACCCTCAGACACTCCTCAACCTCCTCCTGAACAAGACTCCCGATCACAGGGTCGTAAAAACCCTGCAGATAGCTATAGCGAAAAGCTCGACCTTAATATAGCATCCAGCATGAAAGGGGGGCCCTTACTGTCTTCTTCTGGAAAGCCATTACGGCCGTTTACTCTACTAGACAGTCGCGAAAGGTTGAAAGCGGGTGTATTCAAAAGTGGCCATAATTTGCCGACTATGACCATCGATGAGTACCTGGAAGAGGAGCGAAAACGGGGAGGTATTATTGAGGGTGGGGGGGAAAGGAGCGGGATAATACCAGAGCCCGATGAAGACAACTACGAGAAGGCAGATGCAGAGACTATGAAAGCGAGAGAGTGGGATGAATTTAAAGAAGCCAATCCAAGGTTCGTTTTCACAAGACCTTAGCTTTCCCTTCATCCTTTAGCTACTATGTTAACATTATTTTAGGGGCTCCGGCAACACATTAAATCGAGGATAGGTGATTGGACTCTGCGAGGCCAAGGACCTCTTGTAAGGGATAGGTGTATTATGTAAATTTAAAAATCAAGCTCGATGAATAGTCCAATTTCAGTGGTTCAACTACTCGCGTCATACATACATACATGTTTACAGGGTTGCAGCATAACATAAAACATCAGTCGTGGTCAGATGATCTACATCCGCATTCTATCCGTCTATTTGTATTACTTTAATCCTGTATTCAAAGTGTCAATGGTACAGATAGGTCATGCCTAATAACTATTGGCTTAGAGGCCGTTAATCCATCCTTAGAGGAATACGGTGTCTTCTTTGGTCTCAAGGGCGTTAATAAGACATGAAAAGAGTGGGCGTTAATCCTGGACATCATCACAGGTCCAAAACAGGAGATTCAAGGCAAGGATCCACGCCCATAGTATAAAAGGTGAGTTACCCATGCATTGCTAGTCAGAGGGCTTCACTCATAACTTATCAATACTATTTACAGATTTAAATTATAAACTCTACCACATATATAAGCCCCAAGTTATTCCCACGAGCAAGTATAGAATCTCAACCCCAACTTTACCGACCAAAGCTCCCTACGCCAAAATGATCTCTCTTCAAGAACACCTCATGACACTTGTGGTTGAAAGATGGACTCAAAAAGACACCCAAGATATCCTGAAATTCATCAAGTATCTTTTCAAACAGAGTCTCATTGTCGAGAATAGTGAGGACCAGGTCGCCATCTCGATTGTCCAGGAAAAGACTGGACTGGACGGATCTGAAAGCCAAAGAACATTATGGGTCTCCATCAGAGAGGTGGTGAATATTCCGCAGGAAGACTATATCGAACTACGGACTCAGATTCTGGAGAAGCGTGCTTCGTATATGGAGCATGCCGCATCGTCGTATACAGAAGCCGATCTACAGTGGAAGATACTTCATGCGCTTATTGAGTTGCTGATGAGGATGAAGATGGATGTTGGAGATGGGCCTGGGTGTTGGAAATGTCAGCAGCGCTCATACATTGAAGAAATTCGGGTAAGGTTGTAAAAGTAAGCAAGTATATGCTAATCTCACCATAACGTTGTGTTAGTGATCACAATAGTGGCTAACGAAACTGCTTTTGAAGCTTGCAATTTGTGGATCCCTTAAAATTCCCTAATAGTTATGTCTCCTGTTTATCACTTACTTTCGCCCGCCCCAATCCATTTAGTGGGACGTCCCTCTTTTACATTAATCCTCAACTAAAAATTTATCCACGGTACACGCGATATTTAGTCCCTGGATTACATCTTGTGATTTTTTATAAAAAACTGTATAAGTAACCAAAAATATAATTGCACTAAATACTTAAAATTCTAAAGTTTGGTATCTAACATGTGCTCATATTGAGTACTATTTACAAGAGCCGTGCATATGCGTGATTATCGAGGCGAAGAGCCAGCACTATTATCTTCCTTCGGCCTGCTAACTTCAGCTTCCTCTTCTCTTAAATACCTCTCCTTGCCCCTCTCTCTGCTTTTGTCTTTACTTTTAGCACTTAACTTCTTTACCTCTCTTAAGATATCTTTAACATCCTTCATACCCTCTTCTAATGTTCCAATTCTCGCTAAAACTAGTCTACCAAGCATATCATCACCAACACCGCCTCTGGTCCCAGTAGCCATCGCCATTTGGGTCGCAAAGCTGGATGGGACCATTGCGGTATCTATCTGGCGAGCAAGTTCCTCCATAGTGACGGAATTTCTTCTTCGTTCTTCATGGTCCTTAATCAAACTTGAACTATCAATCGTTCTTCGCGAAGAAAGGACAGGACGTGATCTATTGGCAGTCTGCGGTCTGGAAGAACGTGGGGACTTTCTTCCGGGGGATCCCTCGCCGGGAACACTTAGCCGTTCGCTCGCTCTACGAGACATCGGAATGGCCTGGATGTTTTCGACGCTAGAATTTTCCCCAGATGTCCGCAACATTGTTTGAGAGTTCAAAACAGTCGTTGAGGTACCTGTACGATGGTGCTTCTTTGGGCGAATCGGAAGACCTTGTTTGGGAAATTCGAGGCTTCTAGGTCTGGGTGGAGTCATTGTTTTCTGCGGACTAGGTGATCGATCTAACTCTTGGATTGCAGCATCAGTGTTTTCCGTGTCTTCGTTTATCTCGTCGTCTCCATCGTCTTCGGAATTTCCTTCGTTGTCCGCGTCTCCCTCAGTCAAAATTTCAGCAATTGTTGCTCCTTCTCCTAACTGCTGTCCATCATCGGTCCTCCCCCTAAACTCCTCCGGATTTGAAACAAAAGATTTTGTCCCGCCAGTAAAATGCTTAGTCTGCATATTCCCTGGGCGTACCCCTTCGATTGTCCCATAGCTATCTATCCTGCGAAGAGTACGTCCACGTCTCGTTAAAGCACGCCTTCTTGTAGCAAATCCGCCCTCAATATCTGTAGTCAAAGAGCCAGTAGGTGATACGACGCCATTCATCCACGAATCTACTACGCCTCCGGTCCCAATACTCCTAACATCGCCTTTGCTTGCACGCATCCTCAACGAGCCCTTATAAGGCCTTCGAAAAACCTCGTCTAACGCCGCTTCTTGATGCTCG